TACTGAACTGAATGGAAATACCTTTAACGCCATTTCCACAATAGCGTAGGTGACACACAGGAGTTTTATACAGTTCGTAAACGTAGAAGCCACCGCAGTTGCGCACTCGAATGTTATTGCTCCATTTACAACAGTTGCTATCCCAATGATAGCATACTTTACGAGTAACAATTCCTTGAGCTTGGGTAGGATGAGCTTGTGCCAACCATCCAGGGGCATGTGTTCCACATCGCTGCTTAGGGACACAGGAAGTTGGCATTGCTGAACCCGCTTCCCCTTGAAAGCGGTACCAGGCTTTGCCGAGGAGTTCCTTCTGGTCACATTTCAACACGTTACCTCTAGGAATGATCATGGATCGGTCACGGCTGCTCAAAGTTTTATAGTTGCTACATTCTGAAAGTTATGAAAAGTAATAATACGTCTTAATAATAATTCAATGCATAGAAATTTAATTTAAAAAAATCATTTATTGAATAGCAGCTTACCATTTGCTGATATGCTCAGAAATCTGCGAGAAGATATAAAAAAGTCTTATTAAGATATACCATTGATTATATTGATAATTAATAATGCACTTTCGTATTTGAATATCTAGATATTTAACCAGCAAATCAAAGATACTTTGCAAAGATATATTTTTAAAATTCTCTGACGCGTTAAATAGTCAAAGCCAGTCAATATGATGTTAGTCCGGTCCTGATCAAACAGAAACCAGTCATGAGTTTTCTGTTTTTAAGAAATACATGAACATGAAAGAACTTATTTTTCAGTATCGAATTTTCAGTTTTAGCATCTAGTTTGGCGCTTGGCTTGAATTTAACTATCATCAAAAAGGAAACTAAATTTATGTAATATCTCATCCCATGCATAAAATAATCATTTATAAGTGTGAATAGGATGTAGTGGATAGAGCTATAAAGTTGTGATTTTCGGCCTACCTTGCAGCAAGCATGAAAAGCAGATACACCTTCATGATGTGGCTTTACAGTACAAACCCTGCACATTCAAATGACGAAATCACAGTCAGTTTTTTACACGAYCACGATAAGCTAATGAGGTTTACTTTTTAAAACTTTCAATTTCCAAAGAAAGCACCGATCTGATTATACTAAAATAAAAGCGCATTAATAGATATTGCATTTTCAATAAATCATTTTTGGTTGCATTTTCTAAACATATCAATAAACCTTTCCGTGCAGTTCGGTTAAGAAAAACGAAATCAGCTATATGTTAAAAAAAACTTAAGAGTAAGTTTTTTGGATTAAAAACATTTTATTAGAAAATGGTTATAGGTTCAGAACACATGGTTTGAAATAAAAAAAAAGAAGAAGAAAAAAGAATTTTACTGATAATGTTTCTCTTACCTGTTCGCCACAAACACCTGGGCAATTATGTATCTTCTCKTAATAAACACTGCTTTTATAAGCACCATGATCTGATCATATCATCAGCATTATCATGAGCATCAATTAAGCGTAAATTAGTATTTTTCTGCCTTTATTTACTTAAATAATTTTGCGAACTCAAACTGTTGCGTATGAAAAATAATAATCTATCAACTCTTGTGATGTAGGGATTGCTGTTTGTTAAGAAGCGAATTTAGATATGAGTTTGATATTGAATATATATTCATGGATTTTATGTAGGTCTTGTAGAATTCTTAATTTATCAATTTATCAATCAATTCATTGTATTATATAGACCTTATTGGTACTCTATAATTAACTGTTAAAGCAGAGCTTCAGTAATAAGTTTTAGATCAAGCCGATTTGTGAAAAATTGGTCCGATTTATTGGCACTGAAAGCACTCAATACATGGCACTAAAGCTTCTAGTGTTATTTGACAAGAAGATATGTGTATGGTTCTAAAACCGGACCAACAGCGAGGCTGAACAAGAACCTGTAAAAAGATAAAGGGAATTACGGATAATTCCTAAAAGTACGGGAAAAAAATTGAAGTCCACTAAAACATTTTTTTTATTGAGTAAAATAATAGTTAAAAGGCAATATACCGACAATATAAGGAACATTATTAGAAAAAGAATATTTACATTCAATAAGAAGTGTATTTATTTGTTCAGGTATTTGATATATTTGATAAGCGGACTCATGAAAAAATGCAATAAACCTAGTTTGWTTGTACAGCTTTCCGGTTTTGTTTTTAATTAGAAATAATACGCTTGATTAATTTCGGGACAAGTTTTCCAAAGTCGTGCGAAATTGAACGCAATATTTGTGTGATATCCATACAAATTATTTCAGCATAWTAATCCACTGAATTCTAGAAAAACGTACAACTTAGAACGAACAATCTTTAACTTGCTTGCGCAAATGWCAGAAATGGTAGAGTTAGGTGAACTGAGCGCTGGCCACATCACCGGAGACCAATGCCTTAGTCGAATACCATTGTCGAGACCGCAAGCTTTACGTCCTTTCCGAGAAGACCAGGCACTGAAAAAGTAACTGTTAGGGGTAAAAAATCGTGATTGGTAATCTTGTAAGGTGCCAATTTGAAGTTTCTGGAAAATTTGCTCTTTCTGCAATCTCTTGGAGTGTCGTAAAAAAAGAGAAAGAGCGCTTCGATATTGATTTCCCTCCCCTTTTTATCATTGGAACTGATTTAATTTAACAATATTTAATTTGTTGTGCAATATTTTGAGAGTTAAAAATCAGTCAGCGCCCACTTCCTTTATTCAAGGCTTTCGGGATCTTTTTGAAAATTTAGAGCATCCTCGGTACTTTTACCACGGCATCCTCGGTACTTTTACCACGGCATCCTCGGTACTTTTACCACGGCATCCTCGGTACTTTTACCACGGCATCCTCGGTACTTTTACCACGTTCCCCCTCCCCTTCCCCTTTCCCCTCCCCCCAATAACCCAGATCAGAATAAAGGTGCCCTAATGCTGTGTGAGAAGCAGATCCCCATACACTACCTCAACACTGACTGTTTTAAAATACACTCCTAACAGCTATCTTTGAGAAGAAAAACAAGCTTTTAATAAATGGACACAAAGTTTTTGCTCTAGCGATAGCGTCTGTACTAAAGGGTCGATTGAAAACATTCTTTGGGATGGATTTTGTATAAAATAATGCTATTCAAGCTAATATTCAAGTCAATCAAGRAACTGTTTGTATCCAGTTTCCCGTATAATTCAAGCCGGCACATCAGTATGATGCAATGAATTCAAAAAGGTTAGATCTAACTTTTTACTATTGTGCCAACGTTGTCATTTGCCAAATTTATGRCAAATTATCCTTGATAAGACAGATACTAACTATCAAAMAAGTGTTTACAACGGCTGTTACTGATATCTGCTGGTACTGTCTAGTGTTTATAAAGCTGAACAAATAATGTTGATTTGACATAAAACCAATAAAACGAGAGTTTGACAATTATTAAAACGAATTAGTTAGCAGTATCATGATAATTCTATTGAAAATAATAATTAGAAATATTACTTCCAGYTGAAATTAAATATCTTATAGTACATTCAACAAAATAATACTTTTTTATTGGTCGATTGGCCGAGAGGAGTACCATTACAGCGTTAATTGTACTCCGCCGGTATGAGTAACAATTTTAAAAGTCGTCTTGAAAATTAAAAAAAAAAATCATATATTTTGTTCTTTCAAATTCGAAATATTCTATTAAAATAATTTTTAAACGCGTCTCTTTGATGTATTTTAGTTTCTATCAACAAAAATTATGGAATGAAAACCAACATCAAAGGAAAAGCTCGAATGAACGCACATTATGGTCGTAACGTGTCTTTTAT